CATCGATACCATTACTTTTGATAAACAAAAAAATCAGTAATTTATTCCCAGTGTGTTTGTACATATGTAGATTTACATGCATACATAAAAATAAACATGAAATACAGATTTATATACAAAATCTTCAGACACACTGGTCTAAAGTAGAATTGCACAGCTAATGATTGTACTGAATAACAGGAATTAATACTTTCAATGAAACCCTATAACCCAGCTGGAAAAATAATGTGATAGGTACATTTAAGTTAATAAAAAAGAAACATTAGAGAGAGATTTCCATAAATGAAAATTGTGTCAATCTTAAAAGCATAGTACACCCCAGAATCTCCACAGACTTCATGCTCTATGGAAGGAACTTGCAGCTGAAAACAGCAGAGCTTGATGGAAGGCAAAATGCAAACAATAGCCACATTTTCTTCCAGATTCCAGTTGGTTCCCATCCTGAAACACTGTTTAAAATTTAAAGAAGTGTAAACTGTTAAAAGTCAGGTAAATAATTTCTATTACTGGCTAAGCACAAAGGTCGTCATAGCTCTTACCACAATGGAAACATCCTATACCTACTAACTTCAATTATTTCTTTAGAGAATTTTTTCCTCTGTTGAAGCATTCATGTCATGTGTTTGTGTTATATATTAAAACAAATGACTGATCCCTTATTTATTAATAACTCAGTAAAATAAGACTACTAGAGTCAAATCCTGGCTTTATCACCTTTTTCATGCAATGTACTATTTCCACATCTGTAAAGCAACTAATAGTAGCTTTCGTATATGATCACAGCAAAGATTAAGTAATTAAGATGTGCAATGGGTTCAGAGTAACGCTCAGATCACAGTAAACAGTCGGTGCTGGTTATTATTGCTATTTGCAATTACTTTTAAACTGTCCAAGACACATTGTACAGCATTTCCCAGTAAGTGTTTCATTCGCATGTCCTGCAGGGAGAAAAAAATAGAAATAAATAATGGCCATCAACACTGATCTCATAACACTCTCTTCAAACAGATTTCCAATGAAAAAATCTTATTCTCTGCCAACAATGTTTCATCAGGATCACGGTGGCTACATAATCAGGTTTAAACAGGCAACAAAAATTTATCTCTACCTGATGGTTTTTGAGGATTAAACAATATTCCTGGATGATTTCAGATTTCATAAATGTGGGCTTTTCATTTCTAGCAAGCTTTGCTAAGAAGCTCAGAGGACTTTACAAATATTCTAATTAACTTTTTGACATCTTCAATGAAATGAGGGACAATCACTGCTTCCATTTATTAGACATACTGTGTTTAATTTAAGGTGATCAGAAGCCTTATGACTGAGACTGCTGAAGATTTAGGAGTGCATAAACATGGACACAGACACTTTCATTCAGTTAGCTTATTCTTTTAATATTCATGGTAATTTTCCATCAAGCATCATCATACTTAAAGAATTACTAAGATTTTTATCTTCAAAATGAACAAAGATCCATTAAATAGGAAATATCTAATTTACTCCCCAAAATACTACTTTTTGGACCTAACAAAAATAAATATTACTGTGCATGTCATGACAGTACACAGAATTCAAGAGTGAGAAGAAAGAAGCCTCAATTCTCTACCAGTTCTCTTGATAACCAACTGGGATCTTCTGGATTGCACTTTTTGTCCCTGATTTCAAGATCAGAATGAATTTTATGAAGGGGCTGAACTACAGAGTAGAACCAATACATCAGGGGATCATTAAGAGAAACTCTTCCAAGCCTGAAGTTCTCCTAGCAGGATTTCAGTGGTGGAAAATTCACTGTACCCCCAGGTGCTTGAGCTGTCTACAGACATTTCTGTCTGTTCCTCAGTTGCATTTTTTAAGGCAAAACAGAAAAATGGGTAGAAATAATACAGACTTTCAGAAAAATAACTAAGAAATCAACACTAGTTAACATATCACACATTATCTTAGAAGTAGTTGCTCAAGTTACAAAATCAAAGCATAAAAAATGAACAGACAATCAAACAAAGACAGCGCAAACTATTCTTTTTGATGAACTAACAGATTCAGTTGCATTTTGGTCTTTATGGAATGCTAGGCTCTCTTGTATCTTAACCAGCCAAAGTTTTAGTGGAGTTCCACTAATTTATAGCAAATGCTATAAATTATAAAAAAGAGCTTTAAAAGAAACCAAAATGCTGCTTTTCTATTTTCCATTATGCTTACCATTATTAGGGTGGAACAAAAAAGCAAAGGATCAAAAAAGAAAAATAAAAAAACAATTTACAATGGTTCCTCTGCCTTCAATTTATTAGTCAAATTTCTACCAAGCAGCAGTTTTCTTAGAGAGAAGGTCCTACCCTCCACACTTTAAAGGAGTTTGTGCCACCTTAATTTCCCCTCTAGGAATTTGGAGAGCTCAAGCCAGAATAAACTTATACACCAAAAATATAGAGATGGATGCTGTCGTGCAATGGTCACAGCCTCGTGGAGCAATGACCCTCCAAGTGGCATGAAGAACAAGTTGGCTCAGAACATAATTTGGCACCGAGCTGCAGTGAAATAAGAGAAAAATACTGAGTAACAGTTCAGAGATCTTTCAGTCACTGAATATTGATATAGAACCAAGTATAAGATCTCTGATATCCTTAAGTAAGAGCTCTTTGCATTCTGCTGAGCACTCAAAAAGGTGTGGAATGAGTTGCTGACTAGTCAGATGCATAGAACCATGGATTGAAAACAATAAAATCCTTTACCACAGAACATCTGAGAACCACTCCTGATAGGGATCCCAGAGCAGCAGTGCAGGTTGTGTGCTGAATCTTACAGTGCCCTTTCCTGGTCTTTCCATTTCCTGGGTGCTGTAAGGATTTCTCATATTTTGTCCATGTAGAATGGAGGAGAGTACTGTATTATTTGCTTTTTGTACCTAACTTTCCTGTCCCCAAGAAAACAGTTTTCTAACTTTTTATAGTACTTAATGTTATTTAAATATAATAGAGAAAATAAATGTTTCATGGATTTTTTTTTAATTTGGAGGTTGATTCTTCTTTTGCATTAACATGAGATCGATTAGCAAATGACTCAGGGGACTACAGCAACCCACAAATACATTATATTTTCACATGTAGACCAAACAAGATTTAAGTCATTCTCAAAAGAATTTTGACTATACAGACAGCTGTCTTCTCCCAAAATTAAGATGATACAATGGAAACAGCATTGAGCCAGGTATGAGGGTCCTATGATCCAGCGTTAGCTCAAATATTAACTTGCTTTGTGATTTTTGTGAAGTCCCCAAACCTTTTCTACCAAATTTTCCTGTCTGTAAGAGTGGCAATTTGAATCTATTTCTAATGTCTCTGATAACTTTAAAAGTTCATACTTCAAAGAAAATTATTTTTCCTTAAGGTAGTTTCCTGATGGAGGAGTAATTTTCCAACTTGTACGTTACTAACAAAAGATAGCTTGACCTCCCCACATTTGTACAAATAGCTCTTTATGAATTTGGCATTGTCAGACTTTCAAGGCTGAAATCACACAACAAATGGACATGGGCCCTGACCCTCAAAGCATGCTTTTGTTATACAGACAGGAGTTTCAATTTGTAGATGTCTCTAAGGTTGAGCAGAACCTCTCAAGAGCTTAATCACCTCCAAATGGAGCCTACAAAATACCAATATCTATAAGGTATGTGTTTATTGAATTGTTATTTGCCTCACGAGATCTCTCTCAGGGAGCTCCTTAAATGTCTAACAATCCAAAATAAAGCCATCTGTCCTTGTCTAACTCGTGAAGCCTACAGAATTAAGCCAGGCCTCAAATATAATTAAAAATTAAATGAGACCCCTGGAATACTTGTGCGTGAATAACCCTGTTAGAGTTGATTTAATGGTATTCTACTCTTTGCTTATAGCCCAAATCGTGTTTTATTTTTAGGATGATGCGTTCTGTGCTTGCCGAGAAGTCTGGCTCATGTGTGTGAGCAATGTATGTGTATATATGAGAATAGATAGGGTTGGCTTGAAATTATGCATAATTCTCATAATGGCTTTTATCTTTGAAGTATATGGCGGAGAGAATTGAAGCAGATAAAGAAAAATTCAGAGGAAAAACTTACAATAGTATGGAAATTACATAGAAAAACACAAAATACCTAATCATAGATCACTATTCAAGAGACTGAAAAATTCATATCTGAGCAATATGAACATTTAGGCAGTACCTTTTAACACAAAAAAGAACATAATGAGGTAATGGTGCATATGTACAGATGCGTATATTATATATAGAGAGAGAGTTTATTGTTGATCTATCAAAATGTTAAAGAAAAGGAAAACCATTACAATACGTGCAAATAAAATGTACAGCCCTCATTTCCTAAAATACGATTGCAATGAAAAAAGTCATAAACATAAAAAGTCTGAAGTTTTCTGATCTGAATATTGACTTGAAAAGTTGCATGCAGATACTTAGAAAAGATAAGACTGAAGGAGAGTACTTTCTCAAATGAAGCAGAGACCACAAGTGATTTATCCCAGGCTTGTGCCCAGGGAAAGAATGCTGGTCAGCTAGAGAAGTTCACATCCCTGCAAACAACACGGTATCCCCCGATGGAGCTAAACCGTTGAGAGAGTAAACGAGTAGAGTCCTGGGGGGAGCCAGCCACCTCTGGGCCCAGGGGACCTTGATGCCCTCTTCTGAAGTCACCACAGTTCATTAGGCAACTGTATTATTGACACAGATGACCATGAATATCCTAACTGAAACCAAGGAGAGGACCTTGAGTTAATAACTCATGTGAAGCTATCAAGGTCTCGGCATTCTCTCCAGGGGCTCCAGGGCTTTCCTGTGGTAAATTAGGCTCTTCTGGGCTACCAGACTGAAGTCCCAGGGTCATCACTCTCAGGTCCCCACCTGAGGAGAAAGAATTTCTCCCATGGTATTTGAACCTATGTTGAGCGGCTTTGGGCGATGATCTTTTCCAGCTCTCTTCTGCTGGTGGCTGTGCTTTTTTCTCTCTGCAGAAATCAAGGATATCCACCTATGAGAAGATGTGGGCTTTCATGAGCAGCAGGCAGCAGACCGCCCTGGTGAAAAACAGCGATGAGGGCATCCAGAGGGTACTCACCACTGACTACGCCCTGCTAATGGAGTCCACCAGCATCGAGTATGTGACGCAGAGGAACTGCAACCTCACCCAGATTGGGGGCCTCATCGACTCCAAAGGTTACGGAGTGGGGACCCCTATAGGTAAGAGCGGCACAGAACTCATCTCATCCTTTGAGAAGGTCTGCCATGCCTTTAGCCGACTAAGGAATAAGAGAAATGTCACATAGGTCAGAGCCACAGCACATTTCAATTACTATTTCTTTCAAGTTCGATCACAGGCTAATGATTTAAGAATCTATAGGTTAGTCAGGCATGGTGGCACACTCCTGTCATCCCAGCACTTGGGAGGTTGAGGCAGGAGGATTGTTGCAAGTTCAAGACCAGCCTGGGCTACAAAGCATAGCAAGACTCTGTCTGAAAAAGACCAAAAAAAAAAAAAAAAAAAGTCTATAGATTCATTTTAATCCAAATATTTTAAAGAGAATATTTTCTTTGTTAATCTTCTTTATATTATTTTTTCAACACTTATATGCTTAGGTTTTTTTTCTGTCTGATGTTATATGAGAATGTAAGAAAATGAATTTTGCATGTAGATGACAATTCTGCATTTAGAAGAGTAGTGTTCCATGTCAACAGATGCGAAAGCAAAGCTCTCTCAAAAGCAAAAGGGTACATATTAAATTATAATTATAATTTCTCAGGCAATAAGCTAGCTGTAACAAATGGTAGCTATCTAAACCCTCCAAATATTGCTATACTTTAAAATCATATAGCACTGCTTTCCCTAGGGAAGTTATGGCCTTCTAAAAATCACACCCATACAATATTTTCTTTGTACAAAATAGTAGCATACACAATGTTCTTCTGTAATCAAAGATCAGTTACTGATTCCCTTTATATTAAAACTCCTTCTCCATTGTTTTCTTTGCTGTGGAAAGGTATAAAGTTATTGGATGAAATCAGCGTGCCCTTCTCAAGTGACTCTTTGGTACTTTGTTGGTAAGCCTTCCAAAAGAGAGGAATCAGAGTTCATCCAAACCACTGGATTAGTCCAAAAAGAAGAAATCATACTTAGATAAGCACCCCAAATCGATTTGATTTGTATATTTATATTATTTTATTATTTGGAAGGAATTGTCCAATTTTACCATCAACAACACATACATAGGCCAACAAATCTCATAAACTCGTATGCTGGGAGAGGCAGGAGGGAATGGGGCACTATGGGAAACTAGGAAGCACGTGACCCATCTAAAGGAAGTCTTGGTCAGTTGCAGACATGTGAGAATATGAAAACAAGTTTGTCTGATATTTCGTTTTCCTGAATAAAAACACATCCAAGTCTTACATGAACTTGCCTAGTGTTTTAATTTGGCAACTAATTAATTTCTTAAAAAGACCATGCATCTTATATTCAGTTTAATATTCAACCGTATTAATAACAATTTAATTAAACAAATAAGGCCAACTGTCCTCTGTATTTTCTATGAATGCATAGCTAATTCAACTCCTTATCTATCTAGTGCTAGAACTATGTGTTATATGGAAATTAACTTCATTGTTACTGTTATGTTTTATGCTTTCTAAATAAGGTCTTCTGCAGAATAATTAGGCTAAGATGGTGGTATATCTCTGACACACATGCCACAGCTGGCTGTTCATTATCATTGAGAGTTCTAGAAGTCACTGGGCTAGGAGATCTCTAATTGCTCTCTTGTCCTTTTATTTCTAAAAACTTTTCCTGATTTAAAAAATAAACAAACAAAACAATATTGTTAGTGAAGTGTATATTTTCCCCAAGTGGAAAATTGTCCCATAATCTAATCAATATGTGCCTCATTGCCTTCAGTAGGGTCCGTGGACATCACCTAAAATGTACCTTTCTCTGGCTTAAAAACATCTCTTCTCTCTAACCCTACTTTACCTCCTCATTTTAGAAAAGGGGCTGGGGCAGGTCAGACAGATCAGAGGAACTGTTGCTGTTGTTTTTTTAATATTGTCCCTACTGATTTTATCAAAATCTTTTTTTTTTTTTTTTTTTTTTTTGGTCTTTTTCATTTTTATCAGTACCGGGGATCGAACTCACGACCGCCTGCTTGCAAGGCAGGTGCTTATGCCACTGAGCTAAACCTCCAGCCCCGATTTTATCAAAATCTTGATGGTATGGTGGTAACATGGGATTAGTGCTGTGGAGAAGGAGCCAATGAGTTCCTTTCTGCTCTGATGCTAAATTAAGGCATCTCTCTGAAGATCACTGTTTGCATTCATGTGAATGAGACTGACTCAGTAATAAGCATCACCACATTTGTATATATTTATATATGTGTTATATTTATGTGCTTTGTACCAATATATCCATAGTATATATACACTACATATTGTATATAAAGCAAGGGAAGATTTACACTAGCTCATTTATTCTTTTTTATTTTTGCCAACCTTACCCATAACAAGTTTCAAAGTTGAAGAGCCTTCCTCCCTTCCTAGATGAAAAAGAAATATAGTCTAGGAATTTGTCATAACAGTTCTAAACCTGTCATGCTCTTAAACCAAAAACAATGAAGGAATAATTGGAACAGATGGCTGACTTCAGAGAGAATACATCCACGGGGGATACAGCTGTTGGAAAAATTTGTGAGCTGCTGCTTCTCTGATGAATTGACTCTTTAAGAAAGATCAGTTTCTATTCAGGAAGATCTTTGTGTATACATATACTTTTTTTCAAGCAATTGCAATAAGTCACTTCTGATGTCATCCAGTCCATTTAAGGAACAACAACAAAGCCTGAAAGTAAAATATATGCAAATATTTAAAAAATTCCACACACTTCTGGCCTTACCCAGACCAAGTCTCTTAAGGTTCTAAACTCTTCTTCTGCCATAGTGAAAAATAGACCAAATTGGCTCAGTCACAACACAAAATTGAAAACTTTACTTCTTAGCGGCTCTCAGGACAGAAGCGCAGGAAATGTGCCACCTGAGGAATTTAAAATAAAAACTTCAAGAGAATGAGAGCAGTTAAGGTTTAAACAGGTTACGGGCAGGCTGGAAATTACCTTCCTTAGAGACCAACTTTAAACAGGAATTGGATCTCCTCCTGTCTGAACTGCTTTAGGTTTTGTGCACCCTGAAGGCAGAAGGAAAGAAAGCATCAGTCAACATTCACCGAGGGCCGGTTGTGTGTACCCGGAAAGTCACTGTTAGGAGCACGGGCACAAGAAGTACTGTGCACTCTGCTAAGTACTTCCACACACTAGAAAGCTAAATGCTTCACATCTGCTCTATCCTATGAGTATGTTAATGGTGCTCATTTTAACATTACCATTACACTTGGGGTGTTTAAGCAAGCAGCCAATATCTTGTAATTTGACTTCCAGGCCCTATTTTCTCACCAAAATCTGTACTCTTAATTAGCAAGCCATAATCTCCCTCCAAAGCATTGTGTTCTTCTCTTAAACTTGATTCTGAGGGCTGACGATTTTTTTAAGAGTCTTAGGAAGAAAGAAATAATTGCCACAAACAACCTCTGCCTTTTAAATGCTAACCATGCCATGGGACATCAGGATACAGGGTGTGGAGACGGTAATGTGGGAGCATTTTCATGGAAATAACACTGAAAAATAAGAATTAAGGAGAACTGAGTTTTATTTTTTGGCTCTGTCAGTAACTATTAGCTTCATTTATACTTTCATAGTTGGATTTTTTTTCCATTTTTCTGCTAGCAGATTCGACTGTCTAACTGAGGATTTCTTGTCCTGTGTCTAATTTTTCAATTGCTTCAACGAAGAACTGCTTTAAAATGTATCAACAAAGACAGTCAGGATGTAGGGCTACTATTTTCCTACTAAGTAAAAGAAATGCTAGCAGAAATTTTTATCATTCAAGGAAAACTTGAGTTAAAGAATCTTGGGGGGTGTCTTCCTTTACATTAATTAATACAGAAAACCAGTATTGAGAAGTTAAGCCCATAAATAGAAGTTAATATCTCTAACCTTTACCTAATTAAGTGTTCACTCACACTACCACAAAATAAAGCATAAATATTATCGCTAAAGTCCTTGCAAATTTTCTAAACAAAACTGAATTTTCTAGGATCACTGGATTATTACCTCCTCCTCGAGATATTAGCTCCTCTTAAATTTAGGTCAGTATGGATAAACATCTATAACCAGTGTCTGCAAATTATCAGTGGCTTGCATAGCAAATGAATATTCTTTGACTTTGTCACAGTCTGATGTAGATTGAAAGAAAAGTTCTGCTTCATACAGTCACCTAAAGATTCAAATTCCTTCTACTTTGTAGTTCCACTATTTCTGAAACTCAGACTTCCTGCTGCATATTTAGGAAAAATGAAGGAAAAATCATTTTAGAAAGATTCATGAGAGAAATGTCATGCATGGGAAATATCTAATCAGTCACTCCTTTAAGAAGAGGAAATGGCCTAACGCAGCCACAATCGGAGATGAAAAAAAAGCCTTGAAAAAAGCTTAATAATCTAGATGATGGAATCTGTAGCTATGTGAAGAGATTTGTGAAGAACTCACCAGAACCAAAGCTGTATCATGCAATTCCTAACTCAGCTTTTCTAATTCTACAAGGAAAAAACAGTCTGCCCCAAAGTGAATCTCAGCATGTTAACTTTCCTCTCCTTAGATTTCAAAATATAGGATTGGTCTTTCCTGACCTTGGATAGTTACTGGACTGGGGTTTCACAGTAGCCCTACAATATTTACCAAAAAGATAATAAAACACACTGATGTCTTCTTCAACATTTCAGTGATCAGTCTCCAAATGACCCCCATTTCAGGCTCTCCTTACCGGGATAAAATTACAATCGCTATTCTTCAATTACAAGAAGAGGGGAAGCTGCATATGATGAAAGAGAAATGGTGGCGGGGAAACGGCTGCCCAGAAGAAGACAGCAAAGAGGCTAGTGCTCTCGGAGTAGAAAATATCGGGGGCATCTTCATTGTCCTGGCTGCTGGACTGGTCCTTTCTGTATTTGTAGCCATTGGAGAATTTATTTACAAATCACGAAAGAACAATGATGTTGAACAGGTGAGTCATCTCTTTTTAAGACTGGGTAGTTTTTAGTCTGAATTATCTGTCTTAAATTTGAGGTTTTTAAGGATGCTTGCTCTTTTTTTGGTAACAGTCCATTGAAGTAGATGCCCAGAAGAGCCATTTTTGAGTTAGAGCAAAGAGCTATTGAATACTTACCAGGTGCTACAAGCACTGCAACTCCATCATTTATTAATGAGAGAAAGGAAGAGCCTACACACTGAATCAAATTAGCACCATTTGGAATGACAGTGCAAAAATCCCAAACTCAGTTACTTTCTTGACAACTGTTTGTACATGGACAGAAACTGTAGACGCATCGAGAAAGAAGGAAATCCAAAATTGGAAAAGAATCTCCCCTTAGCATATGAGTAATGCAAAATAGTTTAGATAAAAGCAGTATTTGAAATTCAGCATTTATTTCTTTCAAGGTATTACTATTAAAAGAATAATTCACTCAACTTTTATCAGGAATATGATAACACAAAATAGCAATAAAATATATTTGAGACTTCATTTTTCAAAATTGTATTTAAGGTGATAGGATAATCACAATAGTCAAACATATTTGCTAACTTTATTTTTTCAAGGAACTGACACCAGAAATTTAGACTCTTCTAAAAAAGATAACTGTGATTTAAGATAATTCCTTTATAAGCATACTAGAATAAATAAAATGCAAAACTCATGGCCATTACTCTGCATTAGGCCACTCACTTAATTTAAAGATATTGTTAAAATTTTGCGACTATGGGATATTAATAACAGATCCAGCTTAATGCTCTGTTGTTTCTTACTTGAAATTTTTAATGATATCTTTAACAAGGAGTCTTGCATTTTCCTTTTGCGCAGTACCCCACAAATTATGTAGCTGGTTCTGATGAAATCTGATTCTAAATTCATTTCTTGTAAGTGAAAGTTTTCCTTATACACCCAAACCTGGGGATGATTTATTGTAACTGATCTCTTCTTGAGACTCTCCCCGAGAATTGCAGTCATTGCTCAAATACTAAGCATCCTTTTCCTGGACCACACTATACAAAAATGCCTTTCACTATAAGAGAAATGGACTGACATGCTTTAACTTTCAATTTGCTCTTGAGGTGTCTTGTGTTATGCAACTAATTTGAAAAATAAAAGCTTGTATATATTATGCTTTAATGTGCTTCTCATAATGGCCAGCTTCATTTTATTTAAATTTTCATTTAAACATTCATTCTTGCTTTTGATTTATTCATTTTTCAATATTTTTTTCTCATTTCTTTTGCATGCAAGGCTTTTTGTTTCTTTTATGGACTGCAATGTAAGCAAAGCCATCCAACCAACTCCACTTCTGGAACTACTTTATCTACGGACTTAGAATGTGGCAAATTAATTCGAGAGGAAAAAGGGATTCGGACACAGTCTTCAGTTCATACTGTATAATCAGTTTTTCTTTTTTATGAAAAGAAAAAAAGATGTGCCCAGTAGAAATTGTTTCTATTTGGTGTTGCTATGTCTGTATCTAGTAAGCCTACATAACCATAAATCCCTATCCCTTGATGCTAGCAAAACTCATGTGACTACTCTAGACATGGAATTCAATGCACTGGAAAGACATACACACTATACATTGCTGCAGGGTTGTATTAAGAGTGTCTAGACTCATACATGTGTATATGGGAATCTAGTCTGTCTAAAGTAGTTTTTTATTCTGTTTTCTTGCATTAAAATAAGTGACTCTTTCCTCATGAAAAAAAGAGAATCAGATCTTCCAACAGTCCAAAGCATAAAAACGAAATGCTAATTCTATGCACTACTTTTCCTCTTTATGACCCTTTCCCCACTGCTCTCCTTCTCTCTGTCCCATACGCTCCTTAGATTCACAAACTTCAAACTTCCTGAAGCCATTACACATTCAATAAGTTCACATAACTCCATAACAATGTTAATTTTTAATTCAAATTGATTCCACTATTTAAAATGTATTATTTACACAAAGACTCAAAGGCGCCTTTCATTTTAAAGATTCAAAAGCCATGATCCAGAGAATCATGCACTTGAATCTCTGACATCAATGCAGAAGAGGATTACCTACATTGAACATCACTCATAGAAACACAACACATTCAAGAATGATTCCTGAGCAAAAATGAGTAACATCAAGTTCTCAAACAGTATTTACTCAACACATTCAAGAATGATTCCTGAGCAAAAATGAGTAACATCAAGTTCTCAAACAGTATTTACTTATAGAATGTAGTAATCTTCCAGAAGTTATAAAGAACTAATATTTTTTCAGGCTATATATTATTTCTTTGAAAAGGCCTAAGCTGTGAACTAACTCATAGCATCTTGCATTTACTGACCACTCACCCTCACGCTTGGCCCTGATGAACATCTTTCCAAGAAATGTTATTCCATCCCTTCCCACTTGCCTAGGAGGATCGAGTGGTTGCTTTGGAAGCAATCTTTTCTGGGCATTGCCACACACCCTCATCTCTGTAGCTCTATCACCATTGCTAATTCATTCCAACGAATGGAGTGTGTTGGAGAGAAGGGCAAGGAGAAAATAAACACAGGAAAGAATGGTTGAATGTATTCGCTGCAGATTCCTATAAATTTATGTTCCACCTGCATTCAAAGTACTGTAAGTAATCCCCACACTAACCCAACTTGGTTACACAGAAAATCAATCGCATACTTCACTTGCTGTGACAGGGAATGTCTGCTGGTCCCTCTGGGCTTGTTTCCCCTACACAGAGAGTAGGTAAATTGAAGATGCCTTTTACCTTCCCTCAATATGCCATCAATTGGTCTTCTTGACACATCAAGTGATCCCCTAAAATACATTCCTCAGAAGTAGGGATTTGCCATCTATGCACTCAGGTTGCATTGTTTTCTTCTTGTTTAGTTTTAAATGGATTCCAATTTTTAAGCACAAATCTTTCCAACCAACCAATATTCCTTCAATACAGCAAGTTCAGAAAAGTTGATTCTTGCCCTGATTGTTTCTCAGTCTCGTCTTCTTCTTGAAATAAATATACTCTTAAGACAGTATCTATAAATTATACTACTATTTATTTGCCATCATTGAAGTAGAAGTCACCTACTTTTTCTTTCAAGTGAGACTTCAAATTTTTTTTTGTTTTGGGCTAAATATTACATTTTGTTTCATATTTTATTACTTCAGTTATATAGAAACCCTACAGTACCTCAGCTCATTTTTCTAAAACTATCTAATAGACAAAAATGTTAACAACAACTTCAGAGGTAATCGATGAAGTATAAAAACTCAGGTTTAAAATTACTAACAAAATTGTCTTTCTACAGAGATCATCATTTAAATGTTTAGAGATTTAGGTAAATGATCCCTGTAAAAATAATATCTGTGTACTACATTAAATTATATACTAACTAATTCTTACATTTAATACGATTTTATAGTTTTCAAGATATTTTCACACACAGCATTAAAGTTGATCTTTTCAGCAATTTTAACTCAACTTTACCAACAGAGAAACATCATGCCTAGGGTCAGAGGGAATTTTATAAACTAGCCAAACTTAGGTTTACCCATAAAATGACTGTAGCTAAACTGATCAATTTCTCAGTCTCAGTTCTCTAACATATAATTTCTGAAAAATAAGAGCGTCATTGCTAAGACATAAGGTTGTCTAGGAAATTTTTTTCAAAATAATTCTATTGCTAAGTCTTTCTCAAGTAAAATTTTCCTGATTAAATATAACAACATCACACTGAATATTCTTTTACTGCATATCTTGCTGTGTTTAATTTGTTGTAAGGATCAAGAATTTCCAACAAGGTGGGAAACTATTCAGCATTTCCCATACCTCTATTAGATCAGAATTTTGTTTTCCCCCAGAGCTTCTTGACACACCAGTGTTCCACAGACAACCCCTAGAGAGCAGTGGGGCTATGATGTGAACCTCACTCCATGATAATGTACCAAATATAATGCACTGCATGGGGCCCATTGTAGCCATGCAGTAAGCAATCATGTACTATTTGAAGTAAATTTTTCACTTCTCTGAGCTTCAATGTCCTCAAATGAAGAAGGTACAAAATTAAATGGAATCATTTGCCAGAGAAAAATGAAGCCATTGGTAAAGGACTTGTTAATAAAGATTGGTTAACAAATGTAAGTTGGTCCCTACTAGAGAAAGTAAGTACTTCTCTCTGGTCGCATAGTGGCAGGAAAAATTTACTAAGCATCATAATACAGAGTCAGATTTCAAAAACAGATTTACTAATGTAGAGATTCAAATTCTGCCTCTAAGACTAACTTTTCCTGCACAAGCATTACAAATCAATGACAAGGTAACTTTACCCAAAAGAAAACTCAGATTAGCAACACGTTAGGATCTATAGTGAAAGTCTGAGATTTCATCCTTAGGCTTTGTGATTTAATTAGTCTGGAGGTAGAGGAGGACACTAGCTATTCCAATATCCATTTGATTCTAAAGGGCAATTAGGTCGAGAATCAATAAGCACACATTCATGTATATAATTGAAACTTAATAACTCATCCATACTTCTTTATTCTAAAGGTAAACTTATTAATTCCACATATAATTTCACATGTAGTGTTCAATATTCAATGGACTTTTTACATGAAAAACTGAAAGAAACTGTATACATTTATTACAGGTATTACACAATAATTAACTGATAATCTCCCATTTAATTTCAAAACAGTGAAATTGTCAAAGAGATTATTTGTCAAAACTGTCATACAGATAGTTCATTGCTTTCTTTTATTTACACTTCATACTTTTCTTTTTCTCCTTTCATTCTAAAATTATGGTTATGATGTAAATGATGGCCAAGAGAAGACTACACACCCTTACGAGGTTCACTGCATTTTAAGTGAAATTTAGATCAAAAACTTAACTTTATTTTTATCTCAATTGGTGTAAATCAAAACCACCTGTGGAAATGATTCACAGTTCAGAGGATACACTGTCAGACATTCTTCTGCACTTTATCAAGCCTGAAAATAAATGCCTCAAATTACTTTATGAAGTATCTTGAATGAAACAATTTTTCAAAATTAAGTTCTACACAGGAATCTTCTTTAAAGCTATCTTCAATATTGGTGATTTTTAAATAACCTTTCTTTCAAGAATTTTCCCAACAATAATAAGTATACTTGATTTCCTTAAAAGCAGTTGATAAACATGAGTTTTTAATACAAGCTAGTTTGAACACAGCAGTTTTACTCAAACTAGTGGGTAATAAGCTTTAATTAAACAAGAGAAGTTTGTGGATTGTAGTTTGAGGAAGTAAGTTTAAGGTCGGCAGGACGATAAGGAGGTATTAAAAAATGGAACTAATATATTAATAGTAATGAATCACATTATGTTGTTTCCTAATAAGTCTATTCCTAGTCTCATCATCCCATAAAAGAAAGATAAGGTTTTATTTTGTTTTACACTAAATTTATAAATAAAAATATTTTAAAGTGTTTTCTTTTTCAGGAAAATCAAAACTACCTAAAAAAAAAAAAAAAAAAAAAACAAAAAAAACAAACAAAAAAAAAAAAACTATGGTACAAATATTACCATTAGGGAAATCAGCCAGCTCCTGTGATTATCAACCTATCCAAGGTTTATGTGCAAATACCTCCTTGCATTTGACTTGCATTGTGTCTGATTCCACATGAGCTATTTCTGACTAGACAGTACTACAAGGAGTCTCAATTAATTTCCAAGCACATGATTCTTCTACAAGTCTATTTCTCAGCAAGCATGAGCAGCCTTTGAAAGCAAAAGGAAAGCAAAGCATTTTTCTGCACTACTTTCTGCACATCTAACTGTGCCAAATGGCATTATTAATTAACTCTTACGGATAATGAAATATCTCACTTGATGCTGCAGATTTTACTTGCCTTTACAAACCATCTCATTATGCCTCTCAGAGCTATGGAATTTTAGGTCCAGATGCAGAAACATATTAAAATCATTTTCGCTTTCAAAATTCTCTCCATAGAGACTGGTATCATGAAAAATGAGTTTCTTTCTTAAATTTTCAAAAATTTTCTATTTGCAAACTAAGGGAACTCTCACAATAGCAAGTGAACAAAACAAACGCACTGTGTGGTTCCACACCTTGCAAACTCAAGTACAGCTAATGACTGAAACTACTCAGCAATGTGTATGCAAACAGAGAGACAGAAAACTGGGGGAGACTTGAATGACGAAGTAAAATTTCTGTGTTTCTCCTTAACAATTACATTTCTCCAATTTAGTTTGATTACAATTGTCTTTCTCCCATTCTTCCACTGAATGACATGTTCACAATTCAAATATTACAAAATTCAAAAACCTCAGCTTCTAAACACCAGACATCCCTGCTCATTTGGTCTTTACCAACCATATGAATTAAGAAACTACTGTCTACCCAAACTTAGCACATTTCAGATGGTTGTAAGTGTGTTCAGCTCCATTTCTTCTGTAGTTTGGCCAACTTAGCTTGCAAGCGATGTGCAGAAGCCTGTCTCTGTAATTATGTGAACACGATTGCATTTGCCTGGAAATCTAAACATTTACTATCAGAGAAGACAGAAATCACTGAACAGATTTAGAAATAATTTTTCAGTGTACAAGTTGATGCTGTCTTACAAACCAAACTTTGAAAAATGTGTACATTTCAATAGACAGGTGACTTGGAAATAAAAAGCTGAGAATTTACTTCCCAACAGTGCTGCTAAATTGTTACGTGTCATTGGTCAGGTCATTTTAATTCCCTTAGCCTCAGAGTCCTCATCCGCAGAATAACGAACTTGCCTGTGATATTCCTTTTCAACCACGATAGTCAAAAAAAGAAATCATAGAAAATAGGAAGGAAATAAAATTTTGGAAGTAGTAAAAGTAAAGTGTTTTGTTCATACATTTTTTCAATGCAGCTGAATGTCTCTCTTGAACATATTACATTTTTATTGCAATAAGAATTACTTTGCTCTGTTAGTACTTCGAGGTAGAAAGGCATATTCTGAATAGAGAGAAAAGAGTCCCAAACATCCAGCACAGCACCCAAGAGTGAAAAGGTTCTCATGCAATTGATCATGGGCAAATCATTACAGCAGTGATGGCTGAAGAAATGGAATTCTTCTCAATTCTGATGAGCCTACAGGCAAACATACAATGACACAGGAAGCTACTGAAGCCTGAGAATTGGTTATATCCTTGCAGGTCAGCAGAGGGTGGAAATAAGTGGAGCTGGAAGGCACAATTACTGAAAGTGGGACTTAAGCATTTTTGTTAAAAAGAAACAATGAAAAAGATAACATGCACTTGTTTTCTGTTGTCTTATCATTTCCCCTTTCCATTATTAAGTATCAGAGTTTTTGTATGAACTTTTCTCAAGTTATAGATGAGTCAAACTTTCAAATTTTGAATTCAAAGTTATCTTTGCAAATTTGTAGTATTGGCAAAACCATGGCTTCGAATTGAAAATTACAGATATTTTGTCGAACAAACCACCTGTTCTAATTCAAAAAGGTTCACTAATTATTAGGAGACAAAACTCAGAAGCTTAACACTGGCGAAACACAGATTATAATGTATTCCTATTTAATTTTCCTGCCCCAGACCAGTTTTGACCACTAGAGAAGAAAGGAGTTAAAGAGAAGCACAAAAAGCTTAGATACTACCTGAATCTCTAAGATGAGGTTCAGTCACATTCTTAAGCGCAGTCTAAATTTGAACAGACAGCAACATAGAAATTCCAGAAAAGTTCAAAGGGGATGGTGACTTAAAAAGATCACTGGGAGCTTCATGTGGCCCAGAAGAGGATAAGGTGTGCAGAAAAATTGTACATCAAACTGTCTCCTAAACAACAGAAAAACAATACCTCGATAGTGATCTTCTGGGAAGCTTCATGGGTCTCAACTCCAGAGAACGTGAGAGAAAATATCTAAAATCAACCCTTCCACCAGAAAGCCTTTTGAGCAAGTGTTCAGTGTACCAGAAGACTTTAGATTGGACAGAAAAGGCACAGAATACACAGAGCAGACAGGTAGCCTGGGATGGGACAGTAGCCCTCTCGGGAGTTACAGTAGAAGTAGACTGGTATCCATAATCCAGCAGGATGTCACACCAGTATAACTGAGAGGGACAGAAGGTAGCATGGAATAAATGTTCCAAGGTACTCCCCATGTCTCTCATAATCCTAGGTAATCTTTGCAATGAAGAGCAGGAGAAAGGAAGTACCTGCATTACCTGAGTCATTAACCAAAAGAAAATACTACAAACCTAATAATACTAATAATAAATAAAAGGTGTACCTCACTGACAAGATTCATTAGCTGATGAGGAAACTTAAGATGAACTCTTATTTTAAAACAACTGGTATACAAAATTGTTTCCATATTTGAGCATAACTTGAGAAAAATTCATACCCACGTCAGTGAATCTAAACCAGTAATGTAAAGACTCTATAAGAACTGCATGCCAGAACTAGCACTAAAAGAAACTGAAACTTACCTAAAAGTTAATATACTTTGAGGACACGGCCATCTCTTATAGGAGAAAGGGCATGCAAAAAGTCTCCCTTGGAAATGTATTTTTATGGTCTGAAATTGCCTCTGAGATGCTAAAATGACAGACCCTCTCTATGAGGTATGGGAAAGCCAATTGCTATGACTTTGCAGACAGAAAGCAAGGAGAAGCCAGAAAGCAGGAAATGAGCCACACTGGTCTCTGACAGTGACTTCAAACAAAAGAAAAGCACTTTGGGCTTTTGGATTGCTGTGATATAAACCAACATTTCTTGCACTCTAAGCAAGGAAAGCTACTTATCTGTGCATATAAGGTCCACCTGAAGCCCAGCCTCACTGCAGAAACCCCACTCTGCCTTCTGCTCATAAGGTTAAGTGGATCACTTTAAATCTTCTCTCTATATCCTTCACTGCTGCTGCATCTTTCTGGAGCACAGGAAAGTTTTAACTGTTCTCAAGTGTCCTTTGTTCTCAAGTCCTTCTCAAGTGTCTGATATCCTTCAGAAGATATCAGAGACCTAGAAGATTGCCTTGGGTTGGCCTGATGATCTGATCTCCCTTCTCTAGTGACTGCCTGTTCTAAGAGGCTAAGACAGACAGGTGGACACAGTCCTGGCACAGGTGCCACACCTACCTGGCTATTCATCTTATCTCATTCTCTTGGAGTTTGGTCCGGGCAGGCTCAAAATGGGAGGTGAATGACCTTTCTGAGCTATTCCTGGTATCTAGGTCAAGATTCTTCCACCAACTGGTTGAAATTTTCTCCTTGCAAACAAATACAAAAGAATTCTCTCTTCACACACCATCTTCAATGTACAGCATCTGCTTTTTCCTTATTTAACACACCTGACTTTTATTAACACATTCAGAGTGCAAAGTCCTGTTCAGATCCATAAAAGTCTATTTAAGGACTGTAAATTTAACTTTTTTTTTTTTTTTTTTGCTATTGCATCCCTACCCAAAGAACAATGCAAATAAAAGCTTATGCTACAACTTTTAAAATGGAAAAAAATGGAATTCAGAACTAGGGGGTAGGAAGCACACAGATTAATAGCAAAATGTGCTCTTTTCAAGGGTTTCTGTGAAATTGTCCCTAATGTTAGAGGAAAATGAGCTTACATATCTTTATCTACCAGATATGGATTGCATAACCCCTGGCAGTCAAGCCATGTGCAAAACTGCTTTTTGAAATTCTTTTAAAAATAGAGATCCATGTGGATCATGCATGCCACTCACAATATATTTATTTTAGAGGGATAATAAGTTTTCTAAGTGCAATCTTTAAATAAATGTAAGCCACAAAAGAAGACTTTTGTGTAGTGTATGTCATTAAATAGCTCTAGATTTATTTTTGTAGTTTAAGAACTCAGGTAAGAAAACAGGAACTCTACAGACTGAATTCTTACAAAGAGAAACACTTAAATATAACATCCAAGAAAGCAAAAATACTGGCAACAAGTTCCAGTGGGTGGGAGGAAAGGTGAAATAAGGAAGAAAAAAGGACAGAGGTAGTAGAACATGACCTTAAGGGTCTCGAGAATATGAGCTAGAGGCATTTACATGCTATAGCCAAAGATAGGAAAAAGTAGAGGAAGCCAGTTTATAGCCATAAAACACAGGGAAATGGGCTTAACCAGGAAGGTTTCTACAATCATAGGTAGGGATCAGGCACTGTGAGCACATTAGAAATTATGCTTTAGTGTCTAGATTTCCCCTACCACAAGACTTTCAGTATAGCCAGGAGGAGTCAGGTCCACCATTGTTTCTCAGGCTCAAACCAACATTACCATTGCTCTGGAGCCTTATTCAATAATCCACTCATAATGCAGTGGTCACTTTTTAGACGTTGTCTAATTCTCTTTTTCAAAATCCAAGGATTGGAGCATGAAAAATAGCCTGAAGATTCTGAATAAACTCAGAAAACATAAAATGAGAGCAAACAGTGCCTAAAGCCTCAATTCTAGAATGAGGAACTTCACACAAAGATGGTACATACATAACTACTCCAAGGACAAGCTTCCACCGACTTTTACTTAACTACTAGGAATGAAGAGAGGATGCCTGGAGCCTAAACTCTGCTCCCAGAGAATCAGTGACCCTGTAAGAAGCAAAGCCTTTGTGTATAGGTGACTAAACTTTCCAATCCCATAAGTTGGCAAATATACAAATAGGATTTCTGTTCCTGTGCCCTAAAACATTTCCTGATTATAAGCATAAAACTTGTTCAATTTTCCACAGGAAAAGAGCTATTTTCCTGCGTATTTAAAAAAAATGTTAAGGATGGGAATTCTTAGTCCTTCTTGATATAAAAAAAAATCCATTGAGACATTGATTCCATGGAACTGTAGCAATAATTTATCCAAGCCAAGAAACTGATAATCACAGGAGCCAAGCATACAGCTCTGTGACACAGTGCCTGCCTGGCGAGTGCAAGGTCCTGAGTTCAATTCTTAGTACCAAAAGAAAAAAAATCCCATTATTTCTCAGAAATTTGTTTGCTTGGCATTCCATATTTTACTGAAAATGTTTTTTACAGAAAGACTTCAAGTCATAGCTTGATTTTAAATCATAGGAGGTTCATACTTCAAGTGACAGGCTTTACATCTATAAAATGACAATAATGTCATACTGTAATTCTGTTCCATGTGAAATGTGAAAATTTATTAAATAATGTCATAGTATACTTCAAGTATCTTTGAATAAGTAGCCTAATAACCCAAAAGGAGAAAAGTATCCAAAATGTAAGATCTGTATTACATTATTGGCTCAGAGAGCTCTTAAAAATGATCTATTAAAAAAAGGCATAAACATCAAAGTAATTTTCCAAATTTCCATATACAAGTACCAGTGAATGAACAAATTGAATGTATAAATGTTGAATTTGCAGCAAAAAGTCAATCTGACATTCACAATCTGATGCAGGTTTGCAACTGATATGAAGCCAATCTCAGACACCCAGCTTTTAAATAACATACATCTAAATCAAACTGTAATGCAGAGTTTTTCCTATAACTTAAAAAATTATTCTCTTTCTTTGAACTATTTTTCTGAGGCAATGTGCTTTAGGAACAAAACAAAAAGAACTCTGTGAGTTTTTCCCACATGTTCCAGGACAGCATTTGCAAGAAGAATAAAGGCACAATAAAAAATGAGATATCTTACATTCAGGCTCATATTAGCACCAAAAAATCAATTATTGGAGCTAATTCAAGAAGGTACCATGAAGTCAGCAGTCATAAAGTGAAACACACCAAAGGGGAAGATCAAGGACACCAGTGAAGGAAGGAGAAGCTAAGGATACAGCTCGAGGGATGCCCAGGGAGTGAACACTCAGAAAAGACAAGTGATATTTGATAAAACTGAAGTGTGTACGCAGATTTTTTTCCTCTCAAATCAGGAGAGGTGTAGTTCTAGATTGCATTTCCCTTGCAAGTGGAATTTCTTTTCAGATTTATCGTCACAGCAATGCATTATAAATGGGTTCCCAAGCACACGGATTTATTTCTAAAGGAGAAAGAACTTTCATGTTTGAGCACCTGATCTTCATGCATCATGACACAGCTGCCACGATGTCACTGCCTAAACCGACACAGAAACATGCAATGGGCTGAACAAACAGCCTTAAAGGTACTGAGAAATTATATTCAAGTATGTAGGTGATCCTATTTATGCACAACATTAACATCAACAAAAGTATTGCTGAATGGACAGGGATAAATGAAAGAAGCATCAACCTTTTCAAAAAAAATAGTGAGAAAAAGAAAAAACAAGCAGGCAAATGCCATCGATTAAAGTATTTTCACCATGGTGATAAAATTTTTTAGAAAAAAGCTTATTTACAACGTGTCAACATTTGAACACACGTCATTCACACACATGCATGTGCACACACACACACACGCATACATGCACGCACATATTAACCCATTGGATTCTCATAGTAGTTCCATGGAAGGGGTCTTACTAATATCTTACGGATAAAGATACTGAATCAAAGAGAAAATAAACTCTACCCAGTTTAACACAGCTAAGCCCCATAACTGAAGTTTAAACAGAAGTATTCTAAGATGCCAGTGACCAATTCCAAAGTTTAATTAAGTCACATATAGATCCACTAAAAATGTGATTGTGCATTAGAGATAAATAGAAATCTTTAAGGTCCAAATTGTTGGGAGTATTTCCAGGCTTCAATAAACCAAAGGAAATCAGTAGGATATTCTGCTTTCAACAATAGTGCTTCTGGAGATAGCAGCTAGCTAAATGTGGCTATGTTTAATACTTCTTGATGAACTTAGAGTCTAGGAATTTAAGCTTATCATGTTAAAAAATAATGTTCTCACAATTCCGTTGGCGTGAGAAACCCAAAAACTCCAAGCCCAGAAATGTAAGCTCTAGAAAGCTGCTGTAATTTTGATTCTGATTCTGAAACTCAATCTTTGTGTTCTACATGGACCTTTATTTCTGAGATTATAAAACGCAAAATAATTAATAAATAGGGGTCCATCTCATACCCCCCTGTGAGATCCACTCCAGGCTGAGAGATGACCTTCATTTCAGATGACTGTTTCATTTCCTGTGGATACGAAAATGTGTGCTTTAGTTGAGCTCAGGCTGCCAGGGACCTTAAAGGTCATCTTTCCTTGTGACTACAACAAAAATTTGGAAGCAGAAAGGTCAGTCCCAGTATCTTGCCATTTTCTTTTTGACAGTTAGAGACAAAGTGAGAATCAAAAAGAAATCACTCTTTGCGGCCAAAGACAGAAATCAGGCCACCTATGAAGCTATATTTCTATTCATTCTCATATAAGAATCAAGAAATCACTAGGATATTTGAGCTTAATAAGAATAAAGATGCTAGTTGCACTTTAAGGCTGTCAAAATTTGGGGGAAGATTTTCTTTCCTTTTTAAAGAAAAACTTCACTGAAGCATATTTTCAGGATAAGATCTGTGATGATCGCTCTACCCAACATAGAAAAGGGATCTTCAGAAAGCAGTTTCTTCATTGCATTTCATATGCACTCAGGAGGTTCCTTTGGATGATTTCAATATAAATGAAATGAAATATCTGAGTTCAAATACATGAAAACTGAAATAAAATAGATAATTCCTACAATGTGTGTTTTATGGGAAATAATTTGCAAAAGGTATTTTTAATGACTAAAAAATTAAAACCAAGACATAGGTATTTCCAGTAAAAGTAATTGAATTGAATGCAAATGCAGGCTTTTTCTCTGAGGTAGATTACTTAATATCCCTAACAGTAAACGTCTCCATCTCTCATAACAATTTAATAACATTGTGTTACAAGGTTGCTGTGAGATTTTAGGTAATATGTGTTCGTAGGTCCCTTGGAGCTATTTCTTTTGTTTCATCCTTTCCTCTCATTTTAATTATCTTACTGAAACTAGAAATGTCCTGTATCAAAAAAAAAAAAAAAAACTCTACTGAAATAAACTTTTGAGCAAAGTTCACAACACTGTTTATCACAATAACACTATAAAACATATCATCGTAGTGACAGCAACACGTAGACTACATGGCATAATGCTAAAATAAATTCTATTTCATTTGCAATATACCTGCTGTACCACTAGGAAGTATAGTTCCTAGAAAACACTTCTGAATATTTTCTTTGTATGTGTGCCACTAAACCTTCTCAATGCACCAAAGCCACAATTTACCATTTGAAAGAAAGTTAACACGCATGACCTGAATTCTCAGCTTTGAGCACCACAGGAAAATGGAAATAAAATTCAAATCTTATAAACATATGCTTAAAAGAGACAAAAAGCGTTGTGCAAAGTAGTAGTTTGTCAAAAGATTATGTCCAGAATCTAAACTTATGCATTTGAATTTCAAATACAAACATTGAAAAACTACTAGTTAACCTACATCAAGTTCCTTTACACAAAATTGAATACAAATTTTCAAAACTGTATGATGCATATTGATACACAAAGACCACATTGTTTATAACTCTGCAAATATGGGGTCTCGGTTTCTTTGCTACATGACACAACCTAGAGAAACGGTCTTTTATCTGACTCTCTACCTTTTCCATCTTGTAAGCCAACACTAAAATAGTAATGTTTGCACTCCTATAATCTGTACTAAAGACTGCATTTTTGAAAGATTTCTTTTTATTGTAGTAAAAATTTATAACGTGAGATCTACCCTTTAGCAAATGACAAGTACATAATACAATACTGGCAGCTGTAGGCACAGTGCAGTGAGCAAGACCTCTGGATTTTGTTCATTTTGCATAATTGAAACTTTGTACCAAATGAACAGCCACTGCCCCCACTTCTCTCTCTCTCCTCAGTCCCTGTCTAGGGCTGATCCTTCTGTTTCAAGGAATCTGAGTATGGTAGGTGCTTCATGCCAACTTTGTTCTTCTGTTCTGTCTTATGTGATTAAAGGCTCCCTTAAAAGTAACCTCATCAAAAAACAAACCCATGGAAATCCTTAAAAGCAAAACTTTATGACTCAAGTATCTTATCTTGGATAGAAGAAATGACAGCAAAAGATGTTTTACTGAGCCATTTATATACTGTGCATGTGAATATCGTTCAATTGTAATGGAGATGTATATCTATGTATATAGATAGATATCATCTGCATATGTACAACATGGTATCATTATAGTTCCACTTTCTTTTGCATTATGCCATCGTTTTTGCTGTGCAGTTCTGTATCATGTCATTTTCCATTTCAATCACAGCTGCATCATTGCTGCTGCCAGAATCTCTGTTTTTTTGGAGAAAATATACAATTTAAAATTGTTTTTTTTTCTTTTTTTATTCAGAAAGGAAAGTCATCAAGACTTAGATTTTATTTTAGGAACAAAGTAAGGTTTCATGGGAGAAAAAAACAAAGCCTTGGTGTAGAGAAGGTTTGTTTCATTTTCTATAGCATTACTGAAGTGTCCGTATGCCTTGATAAACCTATCAATGTTTGGATCATCTCAGTGGGGGAAATGCCTTAATTTAACTCTGTTTTGGTCTCAGCAAAGGTAAGTTATCTATTTTGATAGTCTTGAATTTTCTCTTAACTGGGTAATTTTTTCCTGTTGTATTTGGGAATGAAACCATAAAGTTTGCCAGTTAACTTACTGCCTCAGTATCTTTGAATAGAAAAGGCGGGTGGCCAATGGGTGGAGGAGGAGGTGATGGGAACTGGCAGCTGTGACAGGGCTGCCTTAAGACCAGTATCTTGTGGTCATAAACTGTAGGCAAAATACAGGTCTGCACAGGCTGAAGATAGGTTCAGTTAAACTGATGCTCTGTTATTTCATGTTCCCTAGTGTCTGTCTTTCAATGCCATCATGGAAGAACTGGGGATCTCCCTCAAGAATCAAAAAAAATTAAAGAAAAAGTCAAGAACTAAGGGGAAATCTTCTTTCACAAGTATTCTTACTTGTCATCAGAGACGAACTCAGAGGAAAGAGACTGTGGCATGACCCAAGAAAATACCTGTTGGAACATTCCAGGATGAAAAAGGGCATGCACACTACCCATTTTGGAGGAAGAATTTCTGGTGAATGTGAGATGTATTTCCATATATCTATATCCTTAACTTCAGTTATGGATATAGATATAAGAAATGCAAAATTTTTTAAACTCATGGGTATTACTCGGGAAGTGGCATTAGTTCTTTTGAAATGAATTTGTATGCACAATTGTTTTGCATTTTCTCTTTTGCCTCAATAAATTGCTGTGTGTGCTTTCTAACTAACAATAAAAAAACAGGGTTTTTCATTGGTGGTTTTTTCTGGTTTTTTGTTTTGTTTTTCAGAATAAACCTGAGCTTTTGTTTCCTCACCGTGACTTTATTCACAGTATTTGGATGCCAAATACCATTGTCTGCTGAGTTCACTATTTTGAAGCCTCCATTACCTGTTAAAAAAGTCTTTGGGTCTTTGGGGGCTTAGTTTAAAAATCACTCCTTTTATTTTCTACATAAAATTTAATTATGCAGGATAAAATGAAACTATTTATCTTTATATTCTGTCACCTAACTTTACAAATAGATTACATGGTATTCAGTGTAGCAGTGACCTTACTATTAGGGGACACCAAAAGGAGGAAATGGATTCAAAACAATAAAGTGTTCACCCCGGTTGTGGCACCATCCTGGGTTCTGGAGATACCACGGTGATGAAGACAGACTTGGTCCGTGTCCTCACATCAAAAGAAGCAACCTATTAATGAAAACAGGATTGGAATTTCTTGGTAAAAGTCAGAAGCTGAAAGAACATGCAAAGGGGTTTGCCTGGAGCCAGGGTAAGAAGGCTTCCTACACAAATAACTAAATGAACATTTGTGGGATGATCAGGCACACTCAGGTGAAATGGAAATGTAAAACAGAGATAGCTAGCGAGGGTTCTAGGTTAAGAAGGAAGCACTGTGCTCATGGGCACTGAAATAAGAGATAATAGGGCACAATATTAGAGGGCAAAGGAATTTGTCACAGCTAAAATGGAAAACACAAAGAAGCACAGTGGGCCTGTGGAACAGCAAGAGTCACACATAAATTGTGGCCACAGAACTTTGAGGTTCAATTCAAATGAACAAAGAGTCCCATAATGACTTTTAAAAGATGAACGTAAGCTTATTATTAAAAGTACAGCAGATGTGAACACAGTCAAATGATATATTTCCATACAATGAGGCAGGAGACTACACCAAAGATGAAGGGGATTCCTCCGGGGAAGGATCTTCCAGGAGACAAACCCTTTGGCAGGCAAGAGAGAAAATGCTCGTTTATTAATTCCTTTTAAGAACTGTGTTCAGACAAAAGTGACTTGGTGCCAACAATCCTGCATGGCTGGGTGGGATTATTCCCAGACTTGGATAGATTCTGGGCATGGTCAGTTTTCTGTGTGTTAACTGTTATCTCTATACATTGCTCTCATAGGAAGCAGTCAGCCTCTCTGCAGAAAGGCAGCAGCCAAGGTCATTTCAGTTAACACCTGCATTTCACTCCCATTTTTAACCCCTGACAGCCTGAGAGGTAGCAAACACTCTGGCTAAAAGTAAAGGAAAAAAAAAAATAGAAGGAAAGGCAACTAGGCACAAAGAGGACTATCACAGGAGATAGCTCTATTAGCTTTCTGCAACAGCAGAGGCCGAAAAATCACAGGGTAGTGGAGGTTATTTTGAAAGATAATCCTGACAGTCATCACAAAATGGTGATAAGGAAGAGTAAAATAAAGGAAAATTTCACACACCAGGGAAAGAAATCTTACTGGGGGAACTAGAATGTCATTCATTGTTTTGAGGCACAACAAAATGTAGGCATCAATTTGATTACATATAATTAAATTTCATTATTTTCTTAAGGATTATTTTAAGATACTTCTAATCTGATTCCTTCCAATATTCAGAATTTAATAATATTTCCAGGCATTAAGAAAAACAAATGACCTTTAAAATGGTAATAAAAGGTTTATTGGACAGATCTTTTGCTTGATTTTAATCAGTAGTTGGATTTAAAATCAATCAGAAGATTTACTAAAAACTAAGGGCTCTTAAGAATTAAGATGATAACATTTTAAAACTTATAGTTAGAAATATAATGGACGAACTATATGAAGATAGTATGGGTGACAGTGCAAGGAATGATAAAAATGCGTATGTATCAGTCAGAGTTTTACTAGAGAAGCATATAATACATATAAATGTGTACGAATTTACAAGATTGGCTTACAATGGTCACCTTCAGAGTGAGATGAGGAACTGTGCAGAGGGTGAAGGATTCAGTCCAAGGTCTGGAGCCCACTTTAGTACCCCATGCCAGTCCATATCAGGAGGTGAATCAGTCTGCGACTGAAGGCTGAAGAATCTACACCACAAGGCCAAATGATGTGTATCAGAAACCAAAGAGTCTATGCTAGAAGCCAGAGATGACATTCAAGGTGAAGGTGAGGACTAGAGCTTCTCCAAAGAAACAGAAGCAGATCTGTCCTTTTTCATCTCCCCTTTATGCCCTTGAAGCTACAAGCTAGCCTAGGGTGAGTCTGCCACAACCTAGGATGTGGAGTTAATCAGCCAGTTTAGTAAACTTTTCTTAACTAAACTTCTCAGGTTGATATAGTCAACCCACCATCACAGACTGTTTAAATATTTAAAGGACACAGTATCATTAATCCCCCTCAAAGTACTCACCTCACTTTAAACACATATATTTCGTCATCTCACTTTCTGAAATGGTTCAGAAAGTCTCCTTTAGTGAATATCTTTAATTGTATTGTTGTAGCTGCTTTTATGTCCTGAATTAATTCAGAACATTTACCTTTCATGGTCATATTGACTTTGGGGAACAGCCAAACGTTTAATGGTGCCAGAGCTAATGAATCAGGTGGAACAGGACACACTGGAATGTTTTTAGAAGATCATCTTTCCTTTGGATGACACTGGAAAGCAGCATTTTCTATATTTTTGTTATTTTAAAATTCAACAACCTCTCTCCTCTGGAGGTCTGAACTGAATGTTCATTCTAGGCATACAATGCTTTCTATAAGAAACTTCCATTAAAAGTATATTGGTAGATAATAGGAAATAGGGAAATAGATGTTTCTCAAAGAGAAAAGGTATCAAGAGATGGAGGGAGGACGTAGGTAAATGAGGAAAAGGGGGTGAAAAAAAGAATGGAGATGTGTGACATACAGGTATAAACTCCACCCAGCAAAGGTAAACATTATGCATTGCAACTATATACAAAAAGAGGAAAGGAATCAAGAGATGGATGGGCAGGAAAGACAGAAAGGAGAGGAGATGAAGAGGAATTAAGATACAAACATTATATACTACAAGCATGCACTGTACTAAATATAAATATATATTTATATATAAATATTTGTGTATATTTGAAATAGGTGAAACTGTCGGAAAGCACTTTTTACTTCAACTACTGGTTCTGGTACATAATCATCTTTCTTCCTGATACTTTCATTTGAAAGCACATTGATGCTTATACATGTGCAAATGCCTATATACCTATGTGTGTGTGTTTGTCTGCCTCTGTGCTTTAAGAGGAACATGGTCATTTTATGATTCAGAGGAGAGAAGAAGAAGAAGAAGAAATTGCAGAAGATCTGGAAGCTGGTCTAAAATCCCCCTGTAAATAATCATTAATCTCTGAGACTTTCATCCCATTCACGAAAGAAATGACTCATACTGAGTTATGTAGAAATCAATGGCAAAGTTAATTAAAAACTAGATTTAACATTTCTTCCTTCAGCAGTTTCTTGAGGCTAAAAGAAACAGATTGTTCAGGTGAGATAGGAAGAGAGAGGAAGGACAAAGCTGATTGAATGATGATTTCCCAGTTAAGACAATTTTCTTTTCAAGTTTCAAACCTCTGTCTTGCCATGTTGATTGTAGGAGAAAAGTAAAGAGAAAAGATGCAAAACTTGCATCGACCCCATCGAGCCAGAGATACATCTAGGACTCAGAGTTTTTCAGTCTCAGACTAGAAGAAGCTAGAAGGTGGCAAAAATAAGAAGGAACCAAGTTAAGGAAAACCAGATGAAAATAAAGTAAATTTGATCAGTATTCTCTCACCAGTGACAGCTTTAAACATTTACCTTACCTAAAAACTAAATAGGTTCTTAATCAGGAAGCTCCAAAGATTGATGTTTCAAAGAGTTTGTTCTGACAAAGGTGAACCTAGGAAATCTCCATGTAGTAGGATTTTTAAAGAAATACATAACCTACTGTCTACAAATGTGTGGCCAACCAGATTTGGAGCGTTGGTTAAAGAGGTTCAAATTATAATCTACACACTGAAGTCACTTATTAGGTGACACTCCCACCCTCCATCTTGCTTACAGCAATGAGAGTTATTAGCTGGCCAAAGATGTTCAAAGTGAAAAAGTACCAAGACTCCACCACAGGGAAAGTGAATGAAAAGAACGAAGATGTGTCACATTACACACCAGCTTCTGACAATGGATGTAATCATTATATATCACTAACATGTACTAATACAGAATAAAGTTCAGGATTTTTAAAATGTTCAAAGAAGTTTAAAAAATAGACCAAATTGAAGGGTAGAACATCTTAAATTATTTTTTTAAATTGCAAGAGGCCAGAGCAAGTAAACTCTTCCACCAAGGTAACAGAGTGCCTGAAGAAGTTGCCTCATTGGATGGAAATGTAATGTAGGAGAACATTAGGATTTCAGAAAAGCACTCAATTCTCAGATCTAGTCCTGTCTTTGAAGGGAAACCCCTGATTATATTTCCCTTTTTTAAAAAAAAGCAATGTGCAAGAAAGAATCAGAACAAAGTAAAAACAGTAAAACCACCAGACTTTACTGTTTACCAGTTAATATGATCCTGTTTTTAAGTAGTAACTCAAACTCCCATAGCCTTGGGCCCAAAATGACCCACATTAAATCATCCTGACAGGCTGACATCCAGAAATTCAGAATCATAGAGGTAAGCTTTGCAGGTGAGTCAAAGCCC